GAGCTCTAAATCCATCACAGCATCTCGGCTGTAAGAGGATGGGGAGAGCGGTACCATATGCGGTAGGCATGAATGGCAATTGCCTAGCTTTCCATTTTGGGGGGTGGTGGTGGAAGAGTTAAAGATTTATTTTTCACAGGAAGACCAGGCTAAAACAAACAGCAGTGACAGTAATTGCTCTGGCTTGTTTTATTTTTGTTGTGGGTGGGTTTTTTATATGCCATCACTTTCATCAGCACTTAATTGCTGGCACAGAGCCTCAGCTGCCGAATTACCTGTCTCACTGCGATGTGAAGGGCTGTTACATCGTTTGCCTTCTGAAGAAGCTGTGGCCATTCCAGAGTAAAGGCTGTGTTATTTTTTGCTTAACACAGGTACTAAACTTCTCCATCTTGTGTTAAATATAAATAAAAGATAGGGTTGTCCTTCAAACAGCTGAGCATGCTGGTGAGAGAGAAGGCTGCGGACAGCAGGGAGCCTGCCTGGCCCAGAGCTGGCAAGAAGAGATTCTGCAGTGGCACAGCAGAACCGAGCAGAGTTTCTTGTAACTATGAAAGCTACTGGCTGAACTGAAAAACAAGCAGCAAGGGGAGAGGGGTGTGTAAAGCCGTTCTATTATCTTTCAGTAGAAGTCATCGTACAGAAGAGGTTTCGGTCAGCGTTCTGGCCACAGCTTGCTGCTGCCGTGGCTCACTGGCTCTCTCACAGGACTATCACCAAAAGCTGTGTGTACCTTGCCTGAGATTTTACCCTCCGTACCTAAAGGGCTTCGCACAGTCGAGGGCCACTGCATCGCTGCAGAAGGCAGGCGCTGGGGCTGGCTGGGTGGGTCATGCAGGGAAGAGGTAGGGCTGGCTGGCTGGTCTCTCCACATCTCTCATTTTAACCGGTTCAAATGTCTCTGAGTTTCATCTCCTTTCCATCTGCTTTAGCTCCAGGTTCATGACACCCTGGTGGTGCAGTTTATCCAGAGCTTGTGGACAGATAAAGAGCTAACAGGAATTTTATCTGAGTATATTTTCTGCTAGCCTTATTCAGACCAGGGATTTGAACCAGTCTGTCGAGGTTTTGATGAATGCACTAATCGCCCACCGTTTGCTCTTCAAAGACAGTCATTCCTTAGTTATTCCTTTCTATCTGAATTAAGACTGCTTGCTTCACCCAATTTGTTGTCTCTCTGGCAAGTTCGCAACACAACGAAGGGGGAGCTGCCCTCCACTCACCCGGACTGAGGGTCTGGCCGGCGTCTAATCTCCCTGCCCAGGGTGCCCTCCTGTGGACATGAAGCCACAAAGGGGAGAGTTTAGTCAATGCCCCGTTATCTCCAGGATATGAAATTACAGGGTCAAGACATTACTAGGGCATGCACAGCTTCCATGTGCTCCTGGATCAGTTCACATCCCGTGTCCATAGTTTCTAGAGCAGAAACCCTGAAGGTCTAGCTCCTGGCTTCAGATCAAGCATCTCATTTTCTACTTTCTTTCCACTAAAAAGTTTCATCCTGCTGTGTTGAACTTGCCAGCAATGTCGGGAGATGCAAAACATAGATCATCTAGAATACTGTGTCTGGTCTGAGAAGGAAAAAAAAATTAGGTATTATAATTTAACTGTTGTGGTAGCAATGTTTTAGCAAGAGCAGAGTGCCAAACTGTCAAAAGAAGCCCTCATCTACACCCTGGTGAAGAGGTGAGGCTGTACCCCTGCAAACTGACTGGCTGCCTCTGGGATGGAAAATATTTCAATACTTTGCTTTGAAAATGTGCAGAGATGTTAACGTTTAACCGGGGAAGATGCGCACTACCTGCCGTAATCAACAAAGTGCACCCGTAGACGAGTCAAACGTGACATTGTGTCTGTGCTTCACAGTTGTGTGAGGAAACGGTCACGGTGAACACCGTCCACCTCTCATGCAGGAGAATCGCACAAACCCATTAGAGGCCATTTCCTACATACGCTCTTGAAGCAGGGCTTACAGCAGCTTCAGCTAGTACGTGGGCCTTCCACTGAGAACTGAATTTCACCCTTTAAAGTTACATCTGGGTTGGCATGACACCGTCTGTCTAATTTTGCATGAGAACACAGTGCACATTTGTCAACATTTTGAGCGCTGTGTAGATGACTGTTACAGGGGCAGCCATGAGAGAAAAGTGATTCTGGGAACTACAGCAGCTTTATACCAAGTTCTTTAAAGCACGTGAATATTACTTGCCTGAAATGTTACTTCCTTCTACAAGATAAGAGTTTCCTTAAGCAGAATTCAAAATCAAACAACATTGCAATAATACTTTCCGGCAACTTCATGTCTATAAAGTTATCTTGGTAAAAATTGGAGTCTAAATGAACACAAAAAGGCAAAGATAGATAAATAGGCTGTCATTCACGATTTTAAAATAATTTAATCTCGTTGCGCTGCCTGCTGATGCTGGGCTCAGACTTACCGCATCTGGGAAATGAATCAGTTGACCTGTTGGTCTTCTGGTCCCCAGCATGGGTGAGACCATACAGGATAAATTGCTTTGATTTTGCTGTTTTGCTTCGTGGCTGGGGCAGGGCTGGGGTTTGGGAGCTGGGTGTAAAGGGCAGAAGGGGAGAAGTTTGGCAGTCTCTTGACTACTGGGACAAGTTGAGAAAGATCTATTTTTCTTGTGTATACAGTTATAAATTCTGATTTATTCTATGAACTTATTTCTAACTACAACCCTCAGTATAAATGAAAACTTTCTTGTTGTGTTTAAAAAGCAAGTCATACCTACGTCCCTGGAAGGCAAAGCCCAATGCCGGCATAATAACACGCAGACAGGTTGAACCAGTTTGGCGCAGCTGAACTTCTGAACTGGAGCTGGATCACATCCCACCACTTTGAAGCATAGAAGGAGGTAGCCACATGACTTTCCCCGCTAGACCACATAAAAACACCCTCAAAGACAATGTCTGGAGCCTGCTTAGACCTGGGGGGCTGAACATGACAGGGGAGCTTTTTTCAGAAGCAGTAGCCAGGTGACAAGGCAGAGAGGAAAACCTACAGCCATGGTACGAAGATGGGATCAGTGGGGATGACCAGAAGGCGGGGAAGTTTGAAGGTTCTTTAGTGCTGGTATCCAGAAAGTCTTCAACACCTGTATCGGATGGGCAAGAAGGAGATGAATGACTATGGCTTTGATGCACAGCGCTAATCCCTCCTGGCAAATCTCAGTAGAGCCAACGAGCGCCTTATGTGTACTTGCCTAAAATCAACTTTTCTAAATATCTGAAGAGTGCAAGTGGTGGAGAAGAGGCTGGCCCCAGGAACTGGCACCTGGAGATGCCTCTGTCAGGTCCTTCCTCACCATGCGCCAGCCCAGTCCCACCTGCGAATAGTTTGCATTGCCATGGCCATAGCTAAGAAGTGTCTTTGCGTCAGCTATCACTAAGGCTTGACCCAATGCCAGGTTGGCTGGGGCATGGATGCAGATGGAGCAATTTACACTGTGCTCCCTCTTTGGAGAGGACAGAAATGCCTCTGGCTGGAGAG